TTAAATTGCATTGTTAATAATAACCGGCTGGTACAATCAGCTGTGACGCTTCAATTTAACTGACTCATACGCATTGTGAACTTTATCAAATGCTAACAAATTATGAGCTATAATCCGATGCAATAAAGTTGGTTTTTGATTAACATATTCTAAACTCAAACGTTCCTTATTTGTTGGAATATTCGACCTTATGCCTTGAGAATACAGCGTCGCGTTGGAAGCTTTAACTGAAGTAACGGTATATTTGCAATGTTTTATCATTAACGGTCGGAAACGGTACGTCGAGATTTTTGCTGAATACATTGGGATATTTAGTTTTTGTTTTAATAAAATTTTAATTCGTGATGGGTCTCGTATTTGCAGTGAAAATAGCTTAGTATTAGAATAAAAAGATTCTATTTTAAATGTTGGTAGAAAATAGATATTATATGTGTGTACGAGTATAATACTTAGATTTTAATCGAATATTTCATCTATACATATAATAAAAATTGTAACTAAGCCGAATATGTACATTAAATATTTTTTGGAAAATCTCATCGAAATAGACTTCATTATCGATACAGAGGTCGAATCTATAGTTTTTAGAATTTTTGTCTGTCTGTTACCGCCATCACAGAAAAACCACTGGAGGCATTTTGATGAAATTTGGTATGGTAATAGCTGGTTATCCGGGTTATGTAGGATACTTTTTACCGCGAGAAAATGTCTTCTTACCAAATTTCATCTAAATCGGTTCAGTAAAACCATAGAGACCACTTATTACATTAACAATAATAGATATATAAAATTCTCGTGTCACAGTTTGTAGCAAAACTCCTCCGAAACTCTTATGTGTGTACATTCAGTAGGTCTGAGAATAGGACGTAAACTATTTTTCATACCCATAAGTGATAAAGGTGGTCCACCCCAAAAAAAAATATTTTTATTTTTTGGACATTTTTTTTTAATGATTCGGCACTAAGATATACAAACCCAAGCGGAGCGAGGGCGAGTCGCAAGTATTAGTATAGATTAAAGTTGAATATCATTTATTATTATTTTTTTATATTTTGAAGTTATATTTTGGTATTCGTTGCCATTTTAATTATTTTATCAGTTTTGTGGGCCGAAATCGTCCACAATAACTAGTAACTTTTGAGACGTAAAAATCTTTGCCACACGCGAAAATGTTATGTTGGCTGTAAAGCATTCTAAACGTCGTTGGTAACAAAAAACAAAAAGAACTGAACAAATTTTTCTATGTGTTTCATTGTCTTTTATACTTGTAAATAGTCTAACACATATTTAAAAAGATATTATTATATTTGTATATGGCAAATCAACTTAATTCTTTTATCAATAACTTATGTAAGCATTTCAATAACGAAAAAGGTCAAGCTTAAATTCTGCGTTCAATAAAATCCTTTCTAATATTACAACGTCACGCCAATGCCATGGTTTTAGAAGGTTTCGAGGATACATGTAACCTATTCTGTAAATTCTAAGGAATGCAGGTTAAAAAATAATATTCTTTTACAGCTATGTACGAAATTCTTTAAAATCTCTTGAAGGATATGGCCATTAAACATGTTTACTTCTTATTCTTACTGGTATTAAATTATTATATTGCCATCAGGATTTTCAAACTTAAATAAAATTTTTCGTGTATTTTCTAATATACCATCGAATATCTTCTTACGATTTACTCGATTATATGACATTTTAAATGAAATTATCTTTTCGGATTTTGTCGTCACTTAGGTTTTTGCCGTCGTCTTAATAGTTGGTACAGACGGTATTTCTATCCACAAAATTGTACAGTAAAATCTGAAGAAAATGAAAAAAACACCAATCTCACATTTAGCTTTACTGGCACTGTGGAAGTCGATTGGTATTGAATTTTCTATTTCACAAACTCATGAAATATCAGGATTGTTAGGTATTTTTCCTCTCGTACTCATAAAACTAGACTCGTGCCAAATTTCATTTTTACTGGGTTAGAACGTTTTTTTATTGTTCATTGAAAAAAAATTTAGAAATGTTAGAAAATCGAAACATCACTTAATCTCTAACTGCATCAAGAAATTTTTTGATCCTCATAAAGCTAGTATCATTAATTATCTTATTTAATTTTATCTATAACTATTTATGTTTGTTAGCATGTATGTGTATTATGTTTATAGATTTGTATTGTGTGTTTAAGTATGCATGTATATGTGTATGTTCCGGCTATGGCGGCCAATCTCATTTAGTAGGCATAGGCAGTTGCCTCAAAAAAACTGCCTCGGTTGTGTAGTAGCTTGCATGTACGGCTGCACACCCGAAGGTCCTGGATTCGAGTCCCGAGTCGGGCCAAGTTTAGTTATTGAGTCTTTCCATATAGTTATAAGTCTCAGTAACAGCACGGAGTTAGTAAGTTGGCGGTGTTTCACGCACATGCCTCGGAGAGCACATAAAGCCGTCGGTCCTGCGCCTTAATTCTCACTGGTCATTTCGAGTAATCGTCCCACCGGAGCACCGAGTATGAGAGTGACAGGAATAGAGAGTGCACTTGTGTCTGCGCGTACACTTGTGCACTATAATTTTTTCTGCGCAGTTGGCTAGTTTCCTCAAAATAAATTTTATATTTGGACTCCCTATCGCCTCCCCTAACTAAAAATACCACCCACTCTTCCAGGAGCCGCGTCCTACTAAACTGCAGCCCATCTTTGTTTATTTTTAATTACTGGATGTATGTATTTTTTGTTTGGTGTACAATAAAGAGTATTATTACTATAATTATCACGAAAATTAATTAGATAATAGATAGTGTACTCGTAATATCTGTACGAGTCTGCTCAGAAACGATTTTTTGAAATTAAACTTTTAGTCGATGATTTTTTTGGTAAACACATTTTTTTTTATAATTTTCATTTTCATCAGATTACTAGGTTGATTATATTATGTAAATAAGAATTTATTCAGCTATCTACAAAAAAGATATTTCGTCAAAGAGCACATACAAAAATAAAACAACTATATCTAACTAAATCTATGAGACAGAAAGAAAATAGAGCGTAAACGTTTTAGTTGTCGCAGCCAGATTAAATGTTAGTGCGTACAGTAAGTATACACAGGTGACGTAACGTCTAAACGACATTGATTTTACTTGCACTGACGTAAACATTGCTCAAGATGTGTTTAATATTTATAAGTGTGACCAAAGAGATCTATCTAGCTTTATTGCATACAGTGAGGTATAGAGTTGCATTTCCACTAGTAAATGTATTAAAGGTATTTTTTTTTGGAAAATCTAATTGAAATAGTCATTATTATCGATACAGAGGCCGAATCTATAGTTTTTAGAGTTTTTGTCTGTCTGTCTGTGACCGCATCACCAGAAAACCACTGATTTTGATGAAATTTGGTAACATGATAGCTGGTGATCCGGGTCAACACATAGGATACTTCTTTCTGTGGGAAAATATCTCATCTCTGAGAAATATATATACTAAACGTTAAAACGCTCCTAGAGACGAACCCAAACGGAGCAAGGATGAGTATAAAATAAGTTTGTAAGACTTAAAGCTTTCACGGTCATAGATTTTTGTTTTAGGTATAGGTAGGTACTGTGTACCTACTCGTGACCATTGGGCAAGAAAAATACGATAAACATCTTATTTGACGTCATAAAGTTTAAAAGGAATTAGCACACCAATAATCCACATTATATAAAATTAATTTTCAGTAGAAAGCCATGGTATCTTTTAAGATAACATATAACAAGATAAAAGTCAAAAAAGATTAAGTATATTGATATTTTATTTATTAAAAAAAAGTTTTTTGCAATTTTTAATGATTAGTTTTTATAAATAAAAAAATTACCTCAAGGGACATTACGTGAATAAAAAAAAATGTCAAGTAAAAACGTAATGTACAATTGATAATCGTTTTCGACAAAATTATAGTTTGTCTTACGATAAAGACAACCTCTTGTGAGGTACCCTCTATATCTATAACATATAGACATATGAAGTCAGCCAATCTGCACATGGTTAGCGTGATGGACTATTCCCCTTGTCGTAAAGGGAGGACCATACCCAGAGTACGGTACAGCAGTCATATCATATTTAAGATTAGATAGTAACTAAATTACGACATATTAATGATCGTATATAATAAATAAGGTTTACCTTCCTATAAGTATTTTTTTATAAACATCATACTACCAACATAACACAAATAACACACACTACAAAAAAAATGCGTGTTTGAGCAATTCATATATGGTAGAAGGGAAACTTCAGAAAGTAACCTACGAGAGAATGAGATGAATATAGAATATCAGGAGTAGGATATTATTATAGGGTTTATTTTTTTATAATATTTTTACCAACTTTATAAGGTATTTTACATTTTATTTGACACTAGCGACTCACCCTCGCTTTACTCGGGTTCGTCCCTAGCTTGATTGCCCATACAAACTTTTATCCCCCTTTTCACCTCCTTAAGGGATAATTTTCGGGATAAAAAATATCCTATTTCCTTTCCAGGGTCTCAAACTATCTTCTTATCAAATATTATCTAAATCGGTCCAGTAGATCTAGAAATTACCCCCTACAACGTCACAAACACAAACTTACCTCTTTATAATACTTGTATAGATAAATATACATTACATATTATTCAATCATTAATTTTATTATTTTTCACTTCCTGTGTAATGTATTCTATCTCAAATAATTAAATAAGGCAAATTAGGCATATTACAATCATAGAATATCATATACGGAAAGAATATAATATTATGTATATATTTGTCAGAAAATAACAAAGGTTATTATATTAATATATTCTATCTTATTCTCTCGCCGGCTTAATTCAATATAATATTTGTGTTTGTCTCTCTCTCGTGTAGCATTTTCGTTTCATCAAGTTACAAATCGCAACGATTCTAAAGAAGTTTCACTTGAAAAAAAAAGAAAATATCTAACACTATTTCCTTATAACATAATAGAATAACGTATGATCGCACTCACGCTGCATATGTATATGCTGCTTGGGCATCTTGTAGTCGGGTGGGTAGCATCTCTCGTAGAAGTCGACGTCGGTGACCTCCGACACTTCAGGAGTTGGTATTATAAGCCCCGTGCCCGATATCGCCCTCTGGAGGTGGTGTTCCTGTTAACCAAATAATTGATTAAGTGTTTATTTATATTTAATTAAATTAGAAAAGTTATTCATGGGGCAAAACACAGTATAAAAATAAAAAATGTGGTCCTTTAAATGTACATTTTTTAGGTTGAAAAGAAAACCAAAAAATGGTTTTGGCTCAGCTTATTTATAATTTAATTAGGGATAAGATTATCCTCTTTTAATTTTCTTTGCAAAATGTTAAAAAATTAATTAAAAATTATCTTTTCGGGTTTATTTCGCCGATTTATTATGATTTTTGGTTCCCGACGTTTCAAATGCTTCCATACATTTAGGTACGTTTTAACGGTTAGTATAGAATAGATGGAATCTATATATCATATGATATATAGCCTGTAACCTTCAATTTTTCAAATCGGACTAGTAGTTCCTGAGGTTAGCTCGTTCAAACAAACAAACTCTGCCTCTTTATAATATTAATTATATGTAACAATAGTCTACACTAAAGAGTTACACCTAATTTTATAAATCGGTCAATACATCGAAAAATAAACATCCAGCAATGGTCATATTTTAATAGCATTAGCTACTTAGGAATAAAACAAACATATATTGTACAAAGTAATCATTACAAAATAAATAATTTGACTCTTTAAGGAAAACCACGCAAAAAATCCGTAAACATAATTAATTTTAAAGTGCGCGTAAATTTCCATTACGCCAGACTCTAGTTGAAATAAATCGTTTAGGTCAACGGTTAGTTAAAACAGTTTTTAAACTACATTTTTACAGCTCACAGAATATATTCTATATTGACTGACAAAATTGACATCTCACATATTTCTTCAATTAAGAACAAATTGCACGATCTAGCTTACCTAGCTTTGTCTAGGTGTGAAATAACACCGAATATATGTAAATAAGTATGTACGTACATATTATATATATATATATATATATATATATATATATATGTTGGTACTTTTACGCACATGGCCTATTTTTGCATAACTGGGTCCAATTTATGCATACATAAGAAATGCCTATACAAAAATTATTATCTATACTCATAATACTTAATAAAAATATAAATTGTTGTTTGTACAAATCCGAAAATCTCCGAAAGTTCTTCACCGGTAACTTGAAATTTTGTCATTTAGAAATTATGCGTGCTCTATAATTTTATTCTATCCCTTTTTTCTCTAATCCACCACTAGACTTTAACACTGTCGACCAACTGTTCCAACCGCCGTGAAAGTTGGTATACATTAGTAAAAGTATTTGAATAGGTACTGAGAAGACATGGCTATGTAGGTACAGCTAGTTCTTAAATGTCTGTATGTACATACATACTTAAAAACATTATTAATATACCTATTTAAATACAGTAAACCAGTTACATAAACCTCCTTCGAACAATCTTCCCACGATAAATATTCCGCATGGTTACGTCACTATTTAATGTAGAGTACAAGTAGTGACGTCACCGCAGTATTTTATCGATGGCAGATTGAACGCTAGACTCGATAAGATAAATAACAAAACAGAATATTTGGATGTGGGGTTTCGGTTTACAATAAATTGTGTAAATAAATCAACTTGGGTTATCGATACTTTGCTTACGTTTTGGGAATTGTCATTAAATATATCATTTATTGGAAAAATCTTCTCTTCTTTAAATTGCAGGTCAAATTAGTTACATAACGTCTACCTATTACTCTAATATTTGACATTTAAATAAAACTACATATATTTTGATGAACTATTTCGCGTTTTATTTTTATTTCGGATTCTCGACAATTCCAATGTTTCAAAGCAAACATGGATACGGGAGGCAGAAGTCAGAATTTCCTCGCGAAAAAAATTGTTTAAATATTTTTTTATTGCAACTAAACTTTAAATAATTTGAATTATAAAACAGTGAAATCGATTTATATGTTGGTATTTATTTATTTGATTCTAAAAAATCTTTTACGAAACCGACATCTTATATCCTATAAACGCCGTAAGAAGGCAATGGAGTTGCACTAAGAAAAAAATTAAGAGATTTTAAAGGATTTTATTACATGCAATGTCATGTTGCATGGAGAAAATACAAGGGAGGTTAGTTGGTAAAAGATGATTACATGTACCTACTAACTTAAATTATAATATGTAATAAAAACTTTTTATAAAACAAAAACAGAATTCAAAACTTTGCTTTGTATCGGATGTCATCGACTTCGAAAATATGTTTCTAGGTATCTTTAGTAAATGAAAACTACAAACCAGCTATTTTTTACTTTTTAGTGTTTTCTTTGAAGTCGGTGTTTTTTAAATTTTGTTTTTCATTTTTAGTTTATACATAGTAGTAGCAAAGTAAGAAGAAATTATTTCAATAAAACATTCGCTGAAGCCATTTAAGTTAGTTTGACGGCAATTTTTATATAAAGACTTAACCTAAAATTCGCTTTTATTAGTAACACTAAAAATCAGGCTCTAAATTCTAATTCTGACGTATTGGGTTTGTTAAATCAACAAAATAAGCCCAAACTCAAAGTATTAGCCGCCGTTGAAGAGTTCCACCTATCCACCTTACCTTGTCCTTACCATCAGATCAGGTCGACGATACCGAACCACTGCAATATCAACGGAAATAGAAACACTTGCAAAGTTTAAAGTCAATACGACAATTAGAAGTAGGTTACATTTTCATTAGCTATTTTTCCACCTTTAGGTTTGATATATATATTTTTTTTAAATTTAAATGAGACCACCACACAAACAAAAAAACTGGAAGTATACACTATCAAACAAAACATAAAAAAAACCATATAGCCGAATTGAGAACCTCCTCCTTTTTGAGGTCGGTTGAAAATACGGTATTCTTTTTAAGTAAGTAATCTATAATAATATAAATGAAAAAAATATATATCTAAAAACGATTTAACAACAGACCCTCCATCTTTCTTTATGTGAAACTTATTCAAATGTAAATATTTTTAAATAGGAAGCTTGTAAATAAATAGGGGTACGGCAGGCGAAGGATCGCTTTCATTCGATAAATCTTCCATAAGCCTGAGATACGTAGGTTTAGCTACCCTCCTTAAATAAAGGCTGTATTTTATTCTAACGTTACCCTTATGACATAACATATACAATTTTTACTACCAACATCTGTTGATTTTTATAATTTTCATTTAAATTGCAAGTTTGTAGAAATATTAATGTTATATACATATAATATTTAGGGGGTTTCATTTCAGCCATTTGGCTACGGAATCCTAAAAATGGACCACAGGCAAGTCGGTCTCGTATAAAAACGAGTTTACCTCAGAAATAGAACTCATTTATTAGGTTACTGACTTGACAAAAGTTCCATATTAACTTTAATTTTATTTGTGACTAGCGACTCACCCTCGCTCCGCCTGGGTTCTCCCCTAATTACCTTTTAAGGATTAGTATAGATTTCTCAGAGATGAGATATTTTTCCGCAGTAAAAATATCCTATATGTTGACCCGGATAACCAGCTATCATCATACCAAATTTCAAAATCTGTCGAGTGCTTTTTGTGATGCATTCCCTGACAAACAGACAGTTAGACAGACAGAAATTCTAAAAACTATATATTCGGCCATCGATTCGATTCTGTATCGATAATAATGACTATATTTTCAATAAAACTTTTCAAAAAATATTCTATGTACAGATTCGACTCAGTTGGAATTTTATTATATACTAGCGACTCAACCTACCCCTTTCCGGGATAAAGAGTATCCTATGTCCTTTCCAGGGTCTCAAACTAACTTCTTACCAAATTTCATCTAAATTGGTTCAGTAGATCAGAGATTACCCCCTACAACGTTACTAACTCACAATCTCACAAACTTTACCTCTTTATAATATTAGTATAGATGTACCATGAACGAATTAGAGACTGGACCTGACATAAAATACAAATGTATAAAAACTAGTTCAACCAAGTGACGCATAACGCACACAAAGATTTTATTACATTATTATAAACACTGATACACAATACAATATTTCTAGTGCTTGAACGTAATCGATAAAATACATATATCGATGAACCAATGAATGACATTTTAGACATTGGTTAGCATACTCATCATATTTTACATCTTTTAATTTTATTAAATAAAACTATCTTTTCGGATTATTTCGCGGATTTATTTTGATTTTTGGTTCCCGACGTTTCGAATGCTTTACAGCATCCATGGTCACGGGAGAGACTGAGGTGTTACATGTCTTAAAGATATAGTTGTTACAGACAGCCTACCCACAATCAACAAAATGAAAATTGCACCAATTACATTACAATATTTTAACTTTAAACATTTGTATAATTTTAATTATAATTGAATATGGAAAATTATTTATTTAATTTTTGCTATTATTTTTATAATTATTACAATTTTAAAAATATTAATTAGTAATCTATATTTAGTGTTGCCATTATTATATTTATAACCATAAAGAAAAATATAAAATATAGTATTAATTATTTAAGCTATATAATTGTTCAATGTGTAATTTAAAAAGTTAAAGTTAATTAAGGATTATAATTTTAATTTAGTTTGCTATTATTTAAAAACAACTTACTAAGCAACACTATTAATATATACTTTTACAAATGAAAAATATCAATCTGATAAGCTGTCATTTTGATCTACACAGTATGAACTTACTACATCTGCCTGTCTGTTATGTTATGTAATTGATTGCTGAAATAAACTGATTGCTAGTGTTCATTTATATCTATTGATTGTATTTTTCACTTTTTCTTGTTTTAGCCAAAAGGTAAACCTTTATCAAAGGACGAGACAAAAGCATTGTTCGCCTTTATTGAGAACAGGAAAATAAATAATAATAAAACTACCAACGCTACCAACAACAGGCTGAAAAATGATGAATGGAATAGAATTAGTGAAAAATTTAACGCCACAGTATCTACAACTCGGCGTACCCCGCAACAATTGCGTTTAAAGTGGGAAAACATGAAAAAATATATATTAAAAAAATATAT